TTAATGGCCTGGACCTCAGAATACAGAGCGCGGAATAAGCCATGTGTCTATGTGAGATGGGTCTGCCTCTTTCCTTTCAAAGTGGATATAAACAGATGCCATAGACACTTTCGTAATTGCTTTTTCTAAGGTACGGATGCATGTCTACATCTAAACTTGCCAAATCCTTTAAACGAGCATGTAGCACCTTCTGGGCATTGGCTAGGCAAGCCGGCAATGTCGAGAGGGAAACCCCCCTCCTGCCCCTCCAAAATCCCCACCTCCCACCTCACCCCCACACCCATCCCCCACGCCCATCCCCCACTGCTTTCTGCTCCCGACCTGAAACAGCTCACTCGGCCACATCTACGGACTCTCAGAGCTGAAAGGTCAGAGCCGAAAGGACCTCAGCACCCCTGTTTAGAGAACCGGTTAGTGAGGAGCCCGGAGAATCGAAGTGAATGGAAATCTCTATTCTTCATCTGGCTGCATTGCCCGGTGCTGTCCCGGCCTCCTGGAGGGCAAGGGGGGGATGATTCAGCCACTTTGCCAAGTCCAGCCACACAGGGGTGAGCACCCAATCCACACCGGGTCAGGCTGCTGTTGCTGCCTCTTGGGAGGAACAAAACTGAAGCTGCTTCGCTTTCCTTTAGCAAAACAGGAAAATGTTAATTTTTCTATTAGGTCCCTGAATCGCCAGGAAAAATCTTTTTGAAAGCAATGGCATTTTAATTTTCTTTTTCTCATGTACACTCCACATCATATCTGGGGGGTGTGTGTAGGTGTGAGTGACTCAGGGTGTGTGTGTGTGTGTGTGTGTCTAGCTTGCAGAGAAAATGATACACAATAATCTAAATATAGCAAAGCGATATTAATAGGAGAGAGCAGTATGATTTCCTATGTAAAGTCTTTATCAATAGGTTTTCCCTGAAGTTCCCTTAACCATCAGGTGTATCTGTTGCATTTAAATATTCATTTACAGACCCTTAACTATAGGATGGAAAGAGACAAAGAAACTTAGAAATAAAATTCAAAGTTACTGCCCACTGAAAATCAAATATAGATGGAAACAGTCTCCCCAAAAATGAAGGAACTCGATTGAGAGTGTAAACCACCAGACAAAGATTCAGTTTACTTTTCTAATTTCTATTTTTTCCAACATTTAATAATTATTTAGTTGGTATTTTCCAATGTTAAATATTAGTAAATATTTAATACTTACTTCCAACCTTCTGAGGGCATAGTTACTTATTTTATGAAATAAGCCCCAGATGAAGTCAATTCTATCGGATTTTAGAATTGCTTTCCTCTGACACATGCTGATAGTGTGGTTTAATACACAACTGAGGGCCTCGCAATGAAATGAGCTCCCTGCTACTGAACATGTTCAAACAGAAATATTATCAGCTTGTTTGGTACATGACAGCTTCCAGAGACCTTTCACCTTCTCATTTGCCCTGCCCTGAGAGTTGGGGGGAACCATCATGACCCCAACTTAGAGATCAGGTGACCTTTTGATGTTGCTTGGCAACTGGCCCAAGGCCATGGGTGATGGGCCATGGATCTGGATGGAACTCCTGGCTGAACCTGGTGACTACTCCAGGCATGGCCAAGGTCAGCAGAGAGGCTGCAGGGGCATCCTTGTTGAGTGTGAGGCCGGTAAGGTTGATTGGAAGAGTCCTCCGGATTCTAATTCTGAGTTATTTGGTGGGAGAAGCCTTGGGGATTGCTTTTTAACATTATCTTTTGGAAGACACTTCAAGTACTTCCTGACTTGACAGAAGAGAAAATTCTGCTCAGACAATCCAAGTTCTCCTGATACTCCAGGATAGGCGAACTCTCCTTGGCCTCAACCAGCGTGGACAGAGGGCCAGGGCATGCCCAGGGCACCAGCACAGGAAAACTCAGCCCTGAGGTCCTAGCCTCCTGCCTGCGAGGAAGCTGCTTCTATTTTAAACATTTGGGGTGAGCAGGTCAACCTGCTCCTCCCAGAGAAAGGACTTTCTTGACTAAGCTTCCCTCTTCTCCTCTTCACTTCAAATGAATTCTCCTCCACCCTCCAATTTTTTATCTCTTTGGTTTTTTTCTAGATGGCAAAGAAAAATATGTAGCACCCACACAGCATAACCACCTTTTCCTTTGCTTTTCTTGACAGCCCTCCACCACTATGTACAATCCCCTCCCCATTTCATTGACTTCCTCTGACAGGGCCCAAATGCTTGCCCCACAGGCGAGGCCTTCCTGCCTCCCGGGCCTGGAGATCTGCTATCTGTCAGTCTACAATTCAGCTCCAAGTGGCCCCTCTCCCAGCCAGCCAGCCTGACACAATCACTGTTAATTCTCACACAGCTCAGAGTCTTTGCATAGGCTGTTCTGCTTAGTATTGTTATTTAAATTTCTACTTAGTATTTTAACCTTTTAGGAAACAAAGCTTTAACCTACACAAATTGGAAGACTAATTGTGTGAACCCCTGGTGTACCCATCACCCAGCTTCAACAGTGTCAACTTATAGTCACCCTACTTCCATGTAATTCCCCACCCTACCATATTTCCATTAAAAAAAAAAAAGACAAACCCCAGACATCACATCATGTCATCTGTAAATATTTTGGTATATATCCCTAAAAGAAAAGGGTTCTTTTCTAAAACATGACCACTATACCATCATCACACTAAAAATAAAGCATAACTTCCTAAGCGCATCAAATAGCCATTCAGAGTCCGAAGTCCTGTGATTGACTCTTTTTTAAAAATTATTATTGGTTAGATTGAATCCGCATCCCAACAAGCCCACCCACTTTTCACCAGCTTGTTCTTATTCATCGTAAAGATCTCTGTTGAGACATCACTTCCTCCTAGCAGCCTCCCCATCCCAAATGCCAGAAGGCCTGGCCCTAGTCTGTTCTCCCATAGCTCCCATGATCGCCATTCTATAACCCTCACCACTGGCTTGCATCCTGAGATAGACTGAGAGCTCCAGGACCATGGGAAGGGTCAGTGTGTCTCAAAGTGACGTCCTGTGCCTAGCACAGCACCTAGTCAATAGTATGCACCAACTGTCTCTGTGTTGAATGAATGAGTAAATAAACGAGATCCCAAACAGAGCTATAGTTCCCATTCCTAAGCCCACATTCAGTGTAACGGTTTACTTAGAAGTCTGTTTCCCCATGGAGCAGAGACTCAATCTTGTTGGACCCCCAGCTCCTAGCCCAGCACCTGGCATGCAGCAGGTGTTCATGAAGGGACTGCTGAATGAGTAACACTTGGGTTTCTGCTCCAAGTTCTATCTATGTGATTTAGGGTTCACAGGCTTTCCTCTCTGGGGCTCATTTTTCCCACCTATATAATGAAGAATCTGGATTCGTGATTTCTAAAGTCCTTTGGATCTAACTTGTGATTCTGAGTAGGGGCCCAGCCTCCTGGGGAGTCCCCATTTGCCATACATTTGCTGCCCTCTGCTGGCGGGACTGGCTCAGAACTCCTTTGTCCCTGATTTTCCTGAAAGAACTCCAGGCAGGTAAAACAAGGACCCAGTGGGTGGACTGGTCTGTAAATGGAACAAGGACATAGATTGCGTTGCCTTGCCTGGGTCTCATTAAAACATGGAGGCCTGAGCCTCCCTCCACCCCATCCCACAAAGAGGATCACTGGGGAAGGTCGCAGACAGACAGAAAGACTAACACAGTAGTCTCACCTCCCTGGGCTGTCAGCCAGAATCTGGGAGGGGAAGAACTTCAAAGGAAGAGATGGGGCCCAGGCCCCACCCACTTCAGACCACCAATCAAATCCCTGGGGGGCGGGGCCCAAGTGTCCATTTGTGCTAAAGCCTCCGGCTGCCTCTCATATTCGACCACATCTGAACTGCTGGACCAAACTGACGTTCACATGTGTAAACTGAGCCAAAACCTTAAAAGCAAAGTTAAAAGATCCTCCAGGGAAAGAATAAATGAAAACTTGACTTTATCATACAAATTTCCCTTAGCCTATCTTACATGTATTCTTTCCAACGGGCCCACACCCGAACTCACAGTAGGCTGCGACCCTTCAAAGAGCTTGAGAACTCTGCGCTGAACCCACCCCCTCTGCGCTGAACCCACCCCCTCTGCACTGAACCCACCCACTGTGTGCTGAACACACCCCCTCTGCGCTGAACCCACCCCCTCTGCGCTGAACACACCCACTGTGTGCTGAACACACCCCCTCTGCGCTGAACCCACCCACTGTGTACTGAACACACCCCCTCTGCGCGGAACCCACCCACTGTGCGCTGAATACACTCGGTCCTCGAATAATGTCATCTCCTTCAATGTTGCAGGATGAGAGCCAGAGAGGGACAGTGCCACTGCAGTGGAAGTCAGCAGGTGTCAAGGCCCCAGGAGGGGTGGGGGGACTGTTACCTCCGCACTGTCATCCCCAGCATCTAATCAGTATCTCCCAACTTTACCTAATCTGATGGGTGACAAATGGACTCTCATTATTTTCATTTGTATTCCTCATCGTGGCAACTCTTATTTCTAATGAGTTTCTCTTCTGAGCTCTGAGTTTTGCTACTATTAATCCTGAATAGATATGGCAAGCTTTCCTTTTTCCCTGCTATTTCACTATTTGTCTTTGAACTTTACAATGTACCAATTTAGTACCTATGACCACAGTTTTCTCATCTAGCAGCTGTCTGGCTGGTTTGCTGGGAAGACTGAATAATGTAGCATCTGCACCATGTGTAGCCTGCCACCTGATCAGCTCTCAATAAATGCCCATGATGCTTTATAACCAGACTTCTCTGTAAAGACCCCCAGCTCCCAGCCTGCCTGTCCTCAATCACATATAGCACCATGAAACAAACACAAGAGAGTATTCCGCTCCACAGAATATGCGGAGTGCTCACCAAATGCAATTTGGGTGAGGGTCACCTTTTGATTTTGTGGGGTTTCCATGTAAGCGTTTGCTAAAGTTGGAAAAGACAGAAGGCTCTGTGACTTGGTCTAACAACACTCTTCCTTTGTCACGACCCCCCCATCAGGTGGCCCCTGAGTACTGCAGCCTCCAGGAAGGCCTGCCCTACCTGGACATGGTGATCGCAGAGACCTTGAGGATGTACCCACCGGCTTTCAGGTAGCTCTCAGCCCTCACCCTGCCCTGCACCAGGGCTCCTCAGCATCGCTGCTTGGGGTCCTCACTTATCCTCAGTCTGTCACCACCTGCATGATCACCAACGCTGGACTTAGGCTCCTGGAGGCAAGGTCTGCGTCTTAAGTTTCTTTGTATGCCCCGGGGCACCAGACATATGCCTGCCACACGGTAACCACAGCAATAAACGCCTTAACATGACCTTTCTCCCCAGCCCAAGCCAGTCTCGTTGGCCTCCTCACTTTAGGTGGCTGTGCCGTTCTCCTGGCCCATTCATGCATTCCTTCATTCAGCAGCTATTTATTGAGCATCTGCTTTGTGCCAAGCACCAGGACATCAGCCAAGTACAAACAGATAAACACCCGTGGCTTTGGAGCTGATACTCTAGGGTGGCCGTCCAAGGCCTGGTCCCCAACAACCCGCACCTGTCCCGTCCTTGGAGCCCCACGCCAGGATTCACCACGCCACACCGTTCCGCCCCTCCCCAGCACTCTGGCTCTAACTATATACTTCATGTTACATTTGGACACGTTTCAACTGCTCTGCAAAATTTCTCCAATGTACTTCCAGCCACACTAACCTGTCGGTGTCTTGAGAGCAGGAATCAGGCCAACTGCTCCTTTCCAAGTGCCCTAAACGAGGCATCTCATGGAGCCCGGGCTCTTCCCTTGGGTCCCCAGAGCCTTAGAGAGTGAAACAGTGGCCAGACGTCAGCCTGTAGAAACAGAAGCCACACAAAGCACTACATTTATGTGTATCATAAATTCTACCCACATTTCTATGAATTAATATACCACATAAACCACACGGAGATACCTTTTGCCATTTTAAGAGAGAAAAGTGGATGATTTGAAGGTATCTTAAAATTATATTCCAAAAAATCACTAGAGAGTATGATTGTAGATATTGTCCAGTATGTTCCAACCCAGAGCAAATATAAAGAATTCTTCTCTTATAGCATTCTGTTCTATTTCATTATTTTAATTTATTCTACTCTATTCTCTTTTATTATTCCTTTAATCTCAGAAAAAGCCTGCCAGCTTTTCCCAAGCGTTGACAGAACTTGACACCCTCACCTATAAAAATAACTCAGAATGGCCCTTGTGAAAAACATCCTTCTCTCTGAAAAGAAATTAATATGAGTCCAAGATCTATGCAGTATAATTCAGAGATTTTTCTCGACTTTTATGCAGCCAGAAGACTATGTATGTTTATAGAGGGTCTCACATCCAGGTCCAAGCCATTTCCGGTCAAGATGTAAAAGAAGGACCCTGCCCAGCTTGGCTTAGCAGTTAAAGCGTTGGCCCGCGGATCAGAGAGACCCGGGTTCGGTTCCCGCTAAGGGCACGTACCTCGGTTGCAGTTTGTCCCCGGCCCTGGTTGGGGTTGCATGGGTCGTGACCAATGGATGCGTCTCTCTCACATCGATGTTTCTCTCTCTCTCTCTTCCTCCCTCTCTCCTTCCTGCTTTATCTGATGATGAATGCAAAAAAAAAGTCTTCAGATGAGGATAAAAAAAAAAAGAAGGGAAGTCAGAGAGCAGCCTAGTTTGATCCGTGGAAGTGAGTCACACACCGGGGCCGCCTTCTGGGTCTGACCGCGGCACTACTGTTTTGCCCCCAGGGGCAAGCACACACTAATTGCATTAGTAACTGGGAATCTGCATGGGGCCCCCTGTCCTGACCTTTCATGTTCATGGCTCTTCTATTAAATGCTCATAAGACAGTGATGCACGCTGCAACCTTTTATAACTATAATGAGTATAATAATTTTATCTCCTCTAAGATATTTAGGGAAGCCCGATCCTACCACTTGAAGTAAAAGCCAGCATAGATTATTTTTTTATTTTTAAAAGAATTATTTATACTACCAAAATAATATGGTAATACTTAAAAACAAGAACCAAAACCAAAACCCCTAAGCAACACAGAAGGATCCAAAGAAGAAGTTGGCAGCCCTGGTCCCCTGTCGCCCTTCACCCCAGTCCCACCCCCTAGAGGAGACAGTGGTAGTGATTTAGGAATTCTTACAGAAATTGTATGTTTGTATACAGACAGATAGTCTGGCCCTTAAATAATAAAACCTAAATGGGGTTATGCTGTGGCCATTTGATAAAATAAACAATCTGACCCGAAGTTTTCCCCTCCGGTAGAAGTCATCCATGGCCACACCGACACTGGATGGGAAACAGATTTTCAAACCTAAATTTCCCTCAGGTAGAGTGAGGGGTGGGTAAGGGCAATGAAAAGGCTTGACTGTGGAGGGAGGGTGTGGCCAGGGGCCATGGAAGCCCCCAGCAGAAATAAATAAGCCCTTCGAAGGCACCTGTGTGCCCCCAACACCAGGCACAAGATGGGCTTCAGGCTGGAGGAAGGGAGGAGCAGTCGAAAGGAGGCAGGAGAAGGCAGGGGCCTGGCAGCGAGGGGTGGGCGGGCCTTGGTCAGCCCCGAAGAGGGCAGGGCCTCCTCTTCCCCTGTCCCCCAACCTCATTACACACTCCAGGCCCAGACTCCCTTTGCCCTGGGATCCCCCACCCTAGCTCTCCTCATCCCTACCCTGCATCAAGGTGAGGGTGACCCGTGTGTCCTCACAGGTTCACGCGGGAGGCGGCACAGGACTGTGAGTTGCTGGGGCAGCGCATCCCCGCCGGCGCCGTGGTGGAGATGGCCGTGGGCGCCCTGCACCGCGACGCTGAGCACTGGCCGCACCCCGAGCTCTTCGACCCTGAGAGGTGAGCGCCACCCCTCCAAATGGGCCCTGAGAGACAGCGGTGGCAGCACGATTGGACGCGGCTGCAGGGAGACACAGGTTTGGTAAAGAGCTAGTTACGGTGGTCCCCCAAACAGTCAAAAGCCAAGGCAACCAACCACACATCTGAGACGGAACGTGAAAGGAAATAACTACCATTTGTAGGGGCCCCAAACGGATTCCAGGGCTAGCGCCTCAGCAGCATTGCCAGCAACAGGCAAGGCGATTGCAAAGGAGTGTCTTCTGCTTGTTCAGACCAAGAAGCAGGACACGGGACATAGTTCCGGTGTGCATGGCAAAGTAACAACACAGCAGTCCCCTTTTCAAAGCTGGAGCCTGCTCCAAATCAAGAGGATCAACCGTGTTTTTCCAGGAATTCCTGAGCTCCGGGGAGGCTAACACGGTAGACCTGGAACCCCTCCTGTCCCTACATGGATTTGATCCATTGTCTAGACTTTCTGACTAGGCTCTAGGCTTGCAGATCTAAAACGTCTGTACAGGCATCCATACCCACCCCACCCCCAAAAAAGAAGAATGCATTTATATCCCTTCCTGTGTGATCTGCCAAGGGGATTGGGGGGGGGGGGAGGTGCTGGCCAGGCAGTAGGTCGGTTCCACCTTCAGCACTTCCAACTTCCTGGGGAATGCAACCCCAGCTCCACAACTCAGTCACAGGGGAACTGTGGGCAGTGGGACCTAGATAAATACTGTAGCCTGCTGCACAGCAGCTCCTGCAAATACGGTAATGATCGAGCACTATAAACAGCGGTAGCAGGGTTTATAGCATCACCTTTGAAAATAAAAACTACATTATTAGGTTGACAAGTGCGGAGGTAGTAAGAAGTGACCTGGCTATCACCAAACAGTGGCTGTGTCACTGCTTGAACCAGAGGCACGTGTAGGCAAGGGAGACAGCTGGCAGGACTTGGCCTCCAGGCAGGGACTAGTTAGTGCCCAGGACTCCTCGTAGGAGGTGGGTGATGGCTGGTGTCACCTCCAGCTGGTGGAGATGTTGGAGCCAAGGGTCGAGGTAAGGGCTGTGGTTTCTCGAAGACTCTTTTCTCTTTCTGGATCATAGTGAGTCCGCAGGCTCATTAACAACATGATGAATTGTAGAGGCAGGGGGGCAACCTCGCATTGCAGGTGATTCGTCTAATTCGGCAGTGGGCAGCGCCTGTGCAGGAAGGGAGGGGGCTGGGACAAAAGCTCATGGATTCGCAGCCATCAGCTAGGGATGGGCCCAAAGGGAAACAGGGTTCTGTTGATTCGATGGAGGTTAGGCCTCCTTAGTAGGAGCGTCGTCTCTTATGTCAGGGACCCTCAGACAGACCCAGTGGCTGAAGAGGCCCCTGAATGGAGGCAGGTGTCCTGGGCCAACCCTGATTGCACTGCCCCACAGGTTCACGGCCGAGGCCCGGAGGTGCCGGCGACCCTTCACCTACCTGCCATTTGGTGCGGGTCCCAGGAGCTGCCTGGGCGTGCGGCTGGGGCTGCTGGAGGTCAAGCTGACGCTGCTCCATGTCCTGCGCAAGTTCCGGTTTGAAGCCTGCCCTGAGACTCAGGTGAGCCCCTGCAGGTAAGCCCTGCTGCTCCGGGCTCAGGGCTGCTCGCCCCTTCTCTGCACTGAAGCTGGCCCATCATCATCATAACGATAACTATTATTATTATTATCCACTGTACAGTAGGGCTGGCCCTGATGATGCTATAGCTCTTCCCTCTTTGGCAAAGGGAACCCAGTAATCCTGCAAAGTAGGTTTTATTATTCCCATTTTTCAGATGAGGACCTAAAACAAGGTTCAGAGAGTAAATAAGATTCAGAAAGTTAAGGCATGTGCCTGAGATCACACAGTTGGACTGCAGGCTCCATGAGGACAGGGACCAAAGTCTCATATTCGATGTTGGATGCCTCAGCACCCAGCTTAATGCCAGGCACATGGCAGGTCCTGCTCATTCGTTCAGCAAAGGTTAACAGGCAGATGAAGGAGTAGCCAGAGTGAAGACCTTGCTCACTGCCGAGCCCTGCCTCGTCTCCACATCCAACAGCCTGTCTGCACGGTGTTAGCCGCTCCCTACACAACCGGAACATCGCTCTGCTCCGTGACTTTTTGAAACTCCTCTGTACAGCTGTAGACCTGGACCAGAGGGCATAATAAGGACACGGTGATGGATGGTGACAACTTCTAGATCCAGAGAGTGGCACTGCCTCCCCCTCGAACAGGGAGATGGGGGCAGGCGGCTGGTCCAGGAGGAATAATGAGCTCAATTGGGTTACAAAAGATTGAGGTACTAGATGTGAAAATGTCCACCAAGTTCTGATGATCCAGACTGGAGAAAGGAGGACAAATTGGGAACACAGAGCCAAACCAAGACAGATGAGGCAGCAGAGAAAGAAAGCAGGCCCTGACCGCCCTAGATCTCCCATGTGTGCAGGCCTTCCTGGGGTTGGTCTCCATCACCCTTGATCTTGACACACAGTACAGCAGCCAGACCAATGTCCCAAACCACTGCTTATGCCTGGCACTCCCCAACTCAAGAACCTGCCATGAGTCCGGAGCCTGCTGGGTCCAGAGAGAACTTATCGGAGCCCATTTTACATACCCCAACTTCCCACTCTGAGAAGCTTCTACCTGCTCAGGCTGCTTCCCCGACCTGAGATGTCATCTCTTTGACTTCCCACCCCATGTCTAATCCCATCCTTCACATCGCTTGGTGTTGCCTCAGTTCCTGAAGTGACCCCTAAGAAGTTCTGCTCACATGGCTTCTCCCATTCCTAACCCCACCTCTGGAGTCACTTCCTCCAGGAAGCCCTCCCTGACTTTGCTGTCAGCCCCAACTGATCTCTCCTCTTTTTTTTGAAGTCCAATGGTGTTTCAAGTTTGTCTAGACCAGCACCTGTAGTTACTGTGGCTATTTAAATCTGAACGATCAGATCAAATAAAAAGGTCAGCCCCTCTTTTGCACTAACCACATTTCAAGCACTCAATAGCCATACAACACTAGTGACTACTGTGTGTGACAGCGCAGGTCTAGACCATCTTGTTTCCTGGGCATAAAACCGGACTCCCATTTGAACCATAACCCTCCAAGACATTGGAAAAGCCTGCAAGGCCCCAGCACTAAGGCCCAGTGATTCTTCTTTCCTCGAAAGGGTTCACATTAGCCACGGAACCATCATTTTGGACGTGGCTCAAGGAGACACCCTGCTTAAGTATTTCTTTGGCTTTTCTTCCAAATCCCTAGTCCATCATTGATTTACCTTGTTCGTGAGACATAAGGATAACTTTCTGAATGACACTGAGGCCAGACCACAGCATGCATGAGCAGGGGCAGCATGAGGCCTTTCTCTCCAAAGCCCCTCCCAAAGGGGGCTTCTCCGTTTCTGGCTGGGCACAGGGAGGGAGATGGATAGACGAGAGGAGGGGGAGGCTTTGCTCTCCGCTTTCTGGTCACGTGGCCTTGAACAAGTCACTTGGCCTCACTGAACCTTCATTTCTTCATTTGCAACGTGAGCCACTACCACCCCTTCTGCAGGGTTCTTGGGAGATCAATGGGAAACTAAATGCCCTCGTCACCTGCAGGATTTTATTAACACGGGAAAGGGAAGGAGCATCCGTGCTGCGGGGGCATTGCCCAGTCCTGGGGAGGCAGCCCTGCTGACCCCACGGGGTCCCACGTGGGAGGCCGGCTGCTTCGCTCACTCTCCGCCCCGCTGGCCCTCAGCCCTCAGCCGAATTTCTACAACCCTGCTCCAGGCCCGGTTCCAAGGAAGTTTTCCTCTACGTGTGATTAACTGAGCCAAATATTGTAATCTCTCTTTTAGGTACCACTGCAGCTGGAATCCAAATCTGCCCTAGGTCCAAAAAATGGCGTCTACATCAAGATTGTTGCCCGCTGACACAATGTCATAAGAGCACCTTCTAATTCAAAGAAAACCCTCGTGGAAATTTGAATTTATGGGGAAACATCACCTAAGTCGTTGAAAGGGTGCCTGGCATACAAGTATAAAAGAGGTCATTTACGTAACATTTCCCAAATGTTGAATAAACGTTTGTTTGTTACACTCCGTTTTGACTTTGCCAATGGTGTGCGAACCACAGATCCACCTCTCAATAAGGAATTGCTGGTAAATAAACAAAACTGTATTTTGACAAAACGCCTGAGAACTTGGGGTTTTGAAGGAAGTCCTGGCCTTAGGGTGGAAGAAATCTACAGGAAGGGGACACGGACGCTCTGGTGAGCTGTCCTGACGGTACCAGCTTATAGGCCTTTTCAGCTTCTGGTGCTTTGTAATGTTTGACTTAGACAATAACTTGCATCAAAAGCTCAACTTCAAAAGTGGTTCAAAAGCTTTATTATGCTTTGATATTTCTAGGGTGAGATCGACTTCCTAAGAGTCGACGCACAGGAAAGTGACAGAGGCTGAGTGTACTTTTTCTCTTTAAGAGCATCATATCTTTTCTTAATTTTGATCAAAGAATCAAAATACAGAGGTGAATTTTAGTAAAAGTAATTATTGTACTGCTGAGATCAAAGTCAAAAAGAACTTGCAAGTTGAATTCCAGATCTGCCACCATCAGCCGTGTGGTGTGGCTGCTGATCTTTCCACCCCCCCCCACCCCCCCCACCCCCCGCGCCTCAGTTTCCTTGTCTGTAAAGCAAGGAGGCTGGCCCAGATCAAAGACCCCTTCCTTCCTCTCTTTGACCTGAGCAGTGTTAAGGGGCTGAATGCCATACAGATAATAGGAATCTGTGAGCATGATGTGATGCCCAGGTGCTGAGCCACCTCAAGAGTTCAGGCTGTTTCAGGTGAGCTGGCAGAACAGGTTGCCATGTATCCATGGCTGGAAATGCTGCCTCTGCTGAGGTCTTCCCCCTCCAGCCCCGAGCACCCCATGCGTCACCCAAAGGGCACCCTGGAGAGTCGCCCAGAGAGAGGAAGGCAGCCTCGTTTCCCAGCACTGTCCCGGCCCTGGTTGCTGCGCATCCTCTAGGTGCCGCCAGCTCATCACGGCCTGGTCACACACTTGCTGCTCACCACCTGCTCATCTCTGGAACCCAGCCCCTTCAAGATACCCAGCCCAGGGCTCAGACTCACTGGGAAAAGCCATCCATTCCCATTCCTGGTGACCCAGCTACCTCCCCTGACTGCCTCCCCTCAGCCCTTGACCGCACATGGCCATCACAGAACCTCATCCTGTAGAAAGGCCCAGAAGAGTACCTGGCTCCCTACTTGAGGTGCAGGTCCACACCTAGTGCCCCAGCCCATCAGCTGATTGACTCCCCTCACCTTCTCCATCCAGGTGGTCCCCATCTCCAGACACGGCAGTGAGGCTTCCTAATGTGCTAGAATCACTGGACTCCCAGCCCTTATGCTATTTCTACCCACATCCCCTAGCTGTTTAAATCCCACTGTTCACACCCAACGCCAACTCACATGGTAGGCAGGAAATGGCAGGAAACAGTACTGACTGGGTCCCCCACAAACCCCTTCGGCTGTATCCCAGCTGGACCTTCATGCCGATTTCTTGGCTACCACACACACCCGCCCCAGGTCCCACTTCCTCTTCGCATTAACATTCTGAGAATCGTGATCGTTTTGACTTCTTCCCATCACAACGCCCAACCCTTCCTGTGCCCACAGGAACAGCTCGCCCCACCCCCACCCCACAACCTCGTCTCATGTGCCCCATTCCTCTTGAATTTCCCGTCCAAGTAGTTGCTCTTCCTGACTTACTTTCCCAAAGGTCAGCAAATCCAGTGTCTGCAGTCTTCACAGCTCACTTGACTTGTCCCAGGCATTTGATAATCTCCCACCGCGGGTTCCTCTTGCCACCCTTCCCACCTACATTCCCAAACAGACCGTTCCTGCTTCCCGCTCCTCAGCTCCCAACAGCCAAATGCTTAAAAAGCATGGGGTCAGTACATCTACATTTGACTCTTAGTAGGCAGCCCTGGTTGGGTAGCTCAGTTGGTTAGAGCATTGTCTCAATATGCCAAGGTTGTGGGTTCAATCCCCAGTCAGGGCACATACAAGAATCAACCAATGAATGCATAAATAAGTGGAACAACAAATCAATGATTCTCTCTCTCCCTTCTGCGCTCTCTAAAATCAATTAAAGAAAAAAAAAAGACTTAGCAGGCAAGCACCTATTTAATGGTTCTCTGACCCCCTCAAGCCTTCCACCTACATGTCAGTAGGACCAGTGACCTCATCAAAAAGCAATGAATGAAACCAGGATTAGACAGGATATGGAGGAAATATTTTGAGAACTCTGAAAATCATACTACACACAACTAGGTCCTGCCGGTGAATAAAGTAGAATTGTCGGTGGATAAGGTAGTATTGCCGGTGGATAAGGTAGTATTGCCGGTGGATAAGGTAGTATTGTTGCTTCTTCATTTTTCCGGTCGTTTTAACTCAGTTCTCTTCTGGGCTGATTCACTGACCTGTGTGAAGTTCCAGATCACTATCCTTTCTTCAAGGATGGAAAAACACCACTTGCTCTCTAACTCCCTCCTTCCCTCTCTTCCTCCTTCCCTCCCTCCCTCCCTTCCTCCCTTTCCCTTCACCTTCCCCCCCCCCTTTCCAGGAGCATGCCTTCACCTCCCCTGGCATGTATCTCCTAAACTCTAAGAGACCCCAGGAGACTTGCAACCGAGGAAGCAATGGGTAGCAGCAACTAGTCTAGGGCTAAACCCCTGAACCTGCCTCCAAGGCCCCCTTTTCTCTGACTTCCCAGTGAGCCAAAGCAGCCCAGCCTAGGCTCTCCTGTTGCCTCTTCTATGCCCTTCCCTGTTTCACTGTGGTCAATACATTTTTGCTTTAAAAAAAAAAAAAGGATGGAAAAACAGCTTGGATCTAACAACTACAGGACGAACTGAACTGGAATCATTGTGTGGAGAGTGAACACCCTGTACTAGGAAGGTGGGGAAGAATGGTGCAGGTGAGAAGCCTGTTGCTGAGGACTGAACCTGGAGGCCAATAAACACAGTACCTGGGAAGGGGCAGTCGGCCTCATAACGTGGAGCCACCCTACCAGACCCTCTGCCCCTGGCCCAGGGCCAGCCAGCGCCTACCAGACTCTATAACCTGCTGTGTGTGAAGGACACACCCACCTCCTCCATGTCTACAACAGTCTGCTCAACAGTGATTCTGGGCTTTGTGGGGCTTGGAACCTGTATGAGTTAGGCGAAAGAAAAAAATACCAAGATGTAACTCTTGCAAATCTAACGAAACTGTATGACCATGTGGCCACATAGCTGGGGCCCCTCCTAGGGCTGTGGAAGGGGCTTCAGCAAATGAGGGACCCTTAACCTTCAGCTTCATTGGCTTCATGATAAATCTACACACACTGGCCTGCTACTATCACTTTGTCCTGATTAAATAAACAAAAGGCCAATTATGAAGCTTTCAGAGGCAAACTAAGGAGTACCAGCTGGCCTGATACTCCTCTAAATGAATTTGTCCTCTAAGAGAATGTGTTAGTTTTTAGAACTTAGAAAATAGAATGACCAGCAGGATAGATGTGTGCTGACCCAGTTCACCCAGTTCCCTTTCGCCTCAGCTCCCTCCCACCTCCGGTTCCTTCCCGCTTATCGCTAAATGCCTCCGCTTCTGTACTTGCTTGCTCTTCCCCAGGTCAACAAGAAATGCCAGTTGCAGAAGTTTGTAACAAACTCCCTTTAAAATAAAAAATTAGCTGAAAGTCGGGGCTGATCTCCAAGAACTGGGGATCAGTCGCTGGCCGGCTTTGCTCTCTATTTGGCTTTAATTTGGCTCTGGTGGTCTCTCGGTTCTCTCGCGCCACAACACGCCCAAGACCAGTAATAGGAGTTCTGTTATTTTCCAATACCCAGAAAAGTGCCAGCAGGAACACAATATACGATGTTGAAGAATAAGTTCAGTCATCACCCATTTGAGATAAATATTATTTTATTTCTATACTCTAATGGTGACATTTGTAGCACAAGTATTCAAATCTCATAAAGACATAAAACCCACATTCAGAGGATGTCCAATGCACTTAGGAGATGCTGGGACGAGCATTCACACGCTGGGCCCATGACAAAGAGAAACCAGCAAGGATTCAATGACACCCTACAGTGGCCACTTGTCTGACAATGTGATATATGGGTGAATTCCAAGGCCAGAAGCCCAGGAGAAGCAGAAGAGCTGCCTGGATTAGAGCCAGTGCAACTGACACAATGACTACCCCTCCCTAGGCCATGAGGCAAGTTTTTCTGTACTGTGTGTCATTCTGACAAAAAAATGAAACAAGATACCACTAAGACCCTGAAAAACCAAATCACTGAGATAGACAGAAATTATTAAAAATTAAAACCAATCCATAAAATACTATCTAGAAACTCTGTGCCTGCTGCCTATCAGTAGCAAAGTTGACAAAAAGAATAAAAATAAGCCCTGGCCGGTTTGGCTCAGTGGTTGGAGTAACAGCCCGTGGTCCAGAGAGACCCGGGTTCGGTTTCTGCTAAGGGCACGTACCTCAGTTGCAGTTTGTCCCCCGCCCTGGTTGGGTTGTGTGGAAGGCAGCCACTCAATGTGTCCCTTTCACATCGATGTTTCTCTCTCTCTCTCTCCCTCTCTCTCCCTCCCACTCTATCTGAACAAAAAATGGAAGAAATGTCCTCAGGTGAGGATAAAAAAAAAAGAAGAAAAGATAAAACTTACCCTAGTAAAAAGCAATAATGGACTCAACTACAATCACTACTAGTTAGCCCATTTCGAGCTCAAAAGTGACTTAAAACCGAAAACTATCATCAGTGAGAGAGACTAAGACTGTAACTTCATTGAGAAGTCAATGTTAACAGTTCATTAAAAGCTTTTTTGATAAAAAAAAAAAAAAAAAAAAAAAAAAAACTTTCCTAAATAGCTATTTCAAGGAAGACAAGCCTAAAAGGCATAAAATAACTTCCTCATGCTCACTGCCGTATTCCAAAAAAGGATGCCAGGGAGAACAGGGTGGAAGAGGCCCCGGCCTCAGGCTTGCTGGAGGTGTACTGGATGACATACTCTGGGTAGACCTGGTGCTTCTCAAAGATGACGAAGATAGAAGGGTCGGACATGCTATTCACACAGCTGTCGTAGAAGATGTTGCTCTGGTCCTCCTTGGCTGGGGGGCGGACAAGGGAGGCACTGCCTCGGGTGAACTCGCCCACCAGCACCCGAGCCAGGAACATTGTGTAGACCTTCGAGTCGGATTTGCTGTAATGATGGGAATATGCAGCATCTCGGGCAAAGTAGCTCCCTGCAAGGACATGCACAGGCTTAGCTGGGCAACGGGAGGACAGCTGCAGCCGGGGACGAGGGGCTCCAGCATTCTGCCAACCAGGCAATGCCAATGGCCTCTGCTGCTCTGTTACTATATCTCCCTCCTGCCCTCCCTCTTTCTCCAGCCTTCCCTCGTGAAGGGTGTCAGAGGGGACACCAACCTGAGACAGAAAAATCCTTTCACATTCTGAATCTGTCACTCAAATCATAAGGCTCTCTGGGCATAACAATACTTAACCCCCAAACCTGTTTCCTCAGCCATTAAATGGGGCTCTCATGCCCAAAACCCCATATATGGAACCACTCTGTAGACACCAGCAGCCCAAAACATAGAATTATGAACTTGTTTAATGGAAACCTGAGTTGGAAGCTGCCACCCTCCCACTGGCTCTCATCCATCCTGACCCCAGTCATCATGCTGGATTAAGGCTAACTGACGGACAACCGATAGAACTGGAGTAGGGCCTGTTGATTTTACTACCGCATCATTATGAAATTTTTTCAGTTTAGCAACTGTGCTGTGATGACACAAAATAATGTCCTTTTTCTTAGGAGGTGTTAAAGGATGAAGGCATATATCTGCCACCTACTTACAAATGGTTCAGAAAAAAAATGGGGGGGGGTGATAAAGCCAACATGGCAAAATATTAAAATGGATGAATCTAGGTAAATGCATGCAGAAATTTACACAGGAGTTTCTAAAATATTATTCTTGCAATTTCCCTATGAGTTTGAAATTACTTCCAAATAAAATTTTAAAATAACCAAGAAAAACACTCAAGTAACCCACCATACAGCTAGAATGACATATTCACGAGTGTTTCCGAGGTGTTCATATTTTTATTCTTACAAAACAGTGCAGGCACAGGATTGGGTAGGCACCCCCTTTCCTCTCCCAGCTCATGCTCACCATCTCCCGAGACCTCCACTCCACAGGGACACAGGCCCATCTCTTAGGGAAGCCAAACCCCAGCCTAAGCAGGACTGCCCATACTAAACCTGGGGTCAGGCTCCTAGCTGCACACAGAGGAGTGAGAGGAAGGGTGCCAACAGCTGGGCATCCCCACAGATTGCTAGGGCCATTCCTCAACATGAACTGGCTCATCAGCTTACAATGCCCCCCCACCCCACCCCATCAGTTGCTTTAAAATGGTTTCCTGGGCCCTGGACAGTGCAGCAGGACCAGTTTCTGCTGATAGAGGCTACCCTCACCCTTACCTTTGCCATAGGAAGTGCCATGAAGACCACAGACCCGCCAATCAAAATTCTGCTGGCAGATGGCATCGACAAAAACAGTGCTGGTGCCATGGAACAGCTGCCTCTCATCTACCACCTTCCCTCCGTTTCTCTTCTGCATCTGCCCTTTTTGCCTAGAATCACAGGAGGAAAATGTGCACTGGAGACAGAGGGTACTTACCACCAAATATAGGCCACCTGACCCAAGAAAATACATTTTATCAGAAGTGTCATGAGGCCAGGTGACATGGATCCAGGTCCATAAGCTCCTCCATGGGCCAGAGGGAGGAAAGCGGGAGCACAGTACCTGGATGAAAATCATAGGGAAGCTTTTCCCTCCACAATTCTAGGCCTCCAGCAGCGACTTGAACTCTCAAAGCAGACCAGCCCTGGGAAGAGAGGCACGCTTCATCCCTACCACCTTGCTTCCTAATGGAGCTTAGCTGGAAGAGCTTGAGGATGCTGCTCAGTGGGGGCGCCTCCATCTCCCCTCTCCCATAAGTTATCCTGATTTCATCACTGGGCCCACCGCATAGATGAGACTGCTCCAACCTTTTGTGGGGACAGGTCAGCAGAACCCCAGGCCTGCCATGGTGACCTGCTGCAAATCTCCTCTCCATATGGACACCTGCCCAAGAACATGCTGGTCCTCAGGCACAAAAATAAGGCCCCTGCTCTCTGGCTATCAATAGCTTTATGTTCTCCAGAGTGTGAGTGGCTTATACTGAACCATCCTGTTGATCTTCAAGGAGGCAGGCAGAATACAAGAATAAGTGCTGGCTTTGTCACTACGGAAGTCTCTATCCTCTTGTCTCTCTGAGGGGACATCCAACACTAAGTATAAAGATGATGAGATAAATAAGAAAACAGGGACACAGTTCCCTATTCCAGCAGCACTGGAAAAGCAGTGGCTGCTATCTGGGATTGTCCCTGAAGCCCAGGGCACGTCTGGTGAGCAGCTACCCTACTATGCACAAATGTGAGGGGACAAAGTCACCAGCCTGCCCAAAGTGAGCCTCTGACGTACCACTGGTAGACTTCCCAGAGAGCCAGGTTCTGGACTCGCTCAATCTTCTCCACATAGTAGTAGGGCAGTGTATGGTTAAAAAGATTGTATATCTTCTGATATTCTTCTGAGGAAGAACTGAGGGTGATCAGCTGCAAGAGGCAAAGATTTTTATTATGTCATCATCAAAGTGTAGAATATAGATCAATCTCTTCCCAAGGCTACTCCTAAAATGCTAGAACTGCAGAAGCGAGCCCAGACAGTGATGATCGCTCTCCCCTTTGCCCCAAGGGGCAGTCTCTTCAGGCACAGAATGTATGCAATTTATGTTCACTGTGAAACCTGCCTGAAGGACAGGTATGGGGTGTTTACATCAACACCATCCTAGGTATCCCCAAGACGTCCCTGCTCTTCTGACCCCACATAAAGCAGAGTATATAGTCTACAAGCCCACAGAGTTGGTGTCAATAAATGTGGAAGGAATACATTTGGTGGAGAAAGGGCAAACACTGCCATGTGTGAACATGGCACAGCAGCGCTGTGTGAACACCCCATACCACAAGCACTGATGGAAAGGCCAGGCTGGCAGAAGGGCACATGGCAACTTAGGAGCGTGGCCACTGCAGCCCTCCTAGCTGAGCCCACCTCTCCCTTAGCCTCTTGCTCTGGGAAACCACACTTCTGATGGGCCAGGAGGGCACCCTGATCAAGGGCAGCCAGCACAGTGACAATGCATAAATTCCCATACTTGCAGCCCAGACCATAAAATCAGCCTCCCTGTTCCCAGTGCCATGAGGCCTGACCCAGTGACAGACCATGTGGGTAACTCTGAAGAGTCCCTTTAGACCACCCCCTTCTCTCACCCCAAGTACAATCTTATAATGGCCACCTCACTCCCTGCCCCAAAGACCCTAATCAGGGCTTGCCATGCACGTCCATGGGTCTCCTGCAACCCAAATCCTGATTCTGGCTTCCCTGCTCCCATCTCATGTAAGCCACCAAACTCCTCTTCCTCAAGTAAAGAAACCAGCCCTGACCCTTCCAGACCAGAGATGGTCATAGGCTCCCATACCTGTCACGGCCACTGCTCAACCCCATGACCAAGGCACTGCACAGCACAGCCCTGACCTCTCTCCTGCTCCCCACGTCTATGCATACCCTCCATCCAAGATATGCTGACACCCCACGTCCTGACCTGGACTGCTTCGCATGTGGTTCCCATCAACCTGTATGTTCTCCCACATCTGCCTGTACAAACATCAGCCATCGTTTAGAATGTGGACCCAGCAACGCCTTCTGTGATCGCCTCAATATGGTCACCTCATCCTCTGACATCTCACTGCTGCTGTCAATGCACCCCACCCATCCACGTCTTGCCTGTGCTACTGGTGTCTGTGTGAGCTTTGTACAGCTCGATACGATGAATCCTCCCAGGGCAGTCATAGTCAGTTGTAAAAGATGGATTGCAACATGCTTGGCAGGCGGCCGCCATGAGAAGCCAGTGTGAGTGCCCCACATAGATGGGGCAGACCTTGGCCTAAGGACTCAACTGAATTCAGCACAGCTCCCCAAGTCTGACAGGCCCTAAAGGAGCTGTTGAATTAAGTGTTCCTTCTTTTGTCTTCTATTATCTACCACCTTCCAACAGAAATTTCCCCTCTAGATGTCACTCATCATACTCAATGGTTTCTTTTTCTTTTCTTGCTTAGTAAAACTAATTTATATTAGCCGAGCCCAGCTTTTACGCTCCTTATTTCTACCCTTTCTGGAATATTTCTTCACCGTCCTCCATCCACAATACATCCTCTCCCCTCAAGACCACAGCCATTTCCTGAGTGGTCTCTAGCCTTAAAATCCCCAAGACCTGGGGGAAAAAAAAAAACAAACCCACACATCTCTCTTCCCTCCTCCCTCACAAGCCCTGGCCTCACAGCTTCTTCAGTGGTGGAGGAAATGGCACAGTTGCTCGTACTCACCTATCTCAAAGAACACTCTCCTCCCCCACCCAAGGCAACACAAAGTCCCATACCTTAAAGCCGGGGTCTGGCAGGGCTGTTGGGTCCCAATGGTCTGGGATGCTCTTTGGGCCTTGAAACTTGACACTGCTACAAAATGTAAACAAAAAATACTGAGACATTTAGTTCTCAGACACAAGCAGACTATCACAGGTGGCCTCCACTAGTCAGTACCACCCATCTCGAGTCTCAATATCTCATTTTGTAAAGCAGAGGGAAGGAGAGAAAGCACTAAAGCACACTATCCACCTTGTGAGAGCACTTTCTTCTTTGCCTAAGTGGCCCAAACTAAAACAATTGAGGCCTGAGGGATCCATTTCTCACCTGTATCCCAACTCCTGCACATAAGGGAGAGAGTCTGATTAAAGCAGCACACACAGACCCCTTAACCATGATTTCGAAATTCAAAGAGCTTGAAACTTGTATTCAAGAGCTCTGAATTATTAAAATAGCCTCAAAGAGGTGCTATTAGCATATAAAAACAAAACTGATGTCAAAACTCATTTAGCAGTAGAAATTTGACTTGAACCGCCAGAGTCTACTTGTGGTCTCTTCTATATCTTTCCTAAAGTGACTATGTTTTTTTTCTCACTCCAGAAATATTATTTACAGGTGTCATGCAATACAAGCAGCACATGATCTTTCTAAAAATAAAAACAAATAAAAGCTGAGTTCTAAAAGACATGTGGCCCAAAGGGTTTAGGAACAAGGACTGGGAAACCAATTCTAAATTATTATTACTCAGTTTCAGAATGCCCTGTTCTTCCTACACTAGATCTACCTTCTGTTTCTGCTGACATGAGACCTTCATCCTAAGCCTCAAAGAACTCCCACAAATAACATTCCTAGGAAAACAGCACAGTTTAAAATAACTAAGCAAGGTCCCATGGGCAAGAATCAGCCAGAAACGGGCCCACAAAGAATTAAATTGTTAAAATTATCAGGCACAGTATAAAACAACTATTCTTTCTATGTTTAAAAAAATAAAACACAAACTAAAAACATATGCAAGCAACAGGAAACTATAAAATGACCTGGAGGAGCTCAAAATAACAAATAGAACTTCTAGAAATAAAAAATACAAAAGTTCAATGGACATGCTAGCAGATCAGACCACCTGAAGAGAGAATGAGTAAGCTGAATGCTATGGGAAATAAAATTCTCCGGAATATGGTCCAGAGCAATAAGTAGACGAAAAATGTGAGGAAGAAGCTGAGACGTAAAGAAGAAAGTAAGAAGGCCTGAATCCGGTCAGAACCTCACTGAAATCCAAAGAGAGGACAGAGAACAGGGTAGAGGCAATCTTCAAAGAGAACTAATGAGATCCACCAACTCACAGGTTTAAGAAACCCAAAGAATCTCCAACAGGAAAATTAAAACACATACCCAGACATGCCATAGTGAGAATCCTTAACACCAAGACAAACAGAAAATCTTAAAAGTAACCAGAGGGAAAAAAGTGATTCAGTCAAAGAAGTGCCAGTTAAACTTACAGCTGATTTCTCAAAAGCAGCAATGAAAACCACTGGACAGTGGAATGACATCATCAACGTTCTAAGAGAAAATAACTATAATCAAAAATTCTATATCCAGTGAAAATATCTTTCAATATTGATGGCAAAATAAAAACATATTCAAACAAAACAGTTTTCCCGCAGCAAAGGAAACCATCAACAAAATGAAAAGACAATACACTGAATGAGAGAACATATTTGCTAATGATACATTTGATAAGAGGTTAGCATCCAAAATGTATAAAGAACTTAGAATATAAAACTCAACACCAAAAAAAACACCAAAAAACAATCCAATTAAAAACTGAGTGAAAGATCTGAATAGACACTTTTCCAAAAAGGGCATACAGGTGGTCAACAGACATATGAAAAGATCCTCAACATCACTAATCATCAGGAAAATGCAAATTAAAACCACCTTGAGATATCACCTCATACCTGTCAAAATGGCTATCATCAATAAATCAACAAACAAGTGTTGGGGAGGATGTGGAGAAAAGGGAACCCTCGTGCACTGTTGGTGGGAATACAGATTGGTGCAGCCACTGTGGAAAACAGTATGGAGGTACCTCAAAAAATTAAAAATGGAACTGCCTTGCCCTGGCCAGTTTGGCTCTGCAGATAGGGCATCAGTTGTGGACCCAAGTGTTGCAGATTCGATTCCTGGCCCCAGTCAGTGTTATGCAGGAAGCAACCAGTTGATGTGTCTCTCTCACATTGATTATCCCTCCCCCCCACAATGGAAAAATATCTTTGGGTGAGGATTAAAAATAAATAAAATAAATAAAAATGGAACTGCCTTATGACCTAGTGATTCCACTCCCAAAGAAAACAGAAACACTAATTCGAAAGAATATATGCACCCCTATGTTCACTGCAACATTATTTACAATAGCGAAGATTTGGAAGCAGTCCAAGTGTCCATCAGTACATGAGTGGATAAAAAAGCTGTGGTAAATTTACACAGTGAATATTACTCTGCTGTAAAAAAGGAAGAAAAATTCCCCCTTTGCAACAACACAGATGGACCCATAGTGTATTATGCTAAGCGAAATAAGCCAGTCAGAGAAAGACAAGTACCATATGATTTCACTCATGTGGAATTTAATGAACAAACTGAACTACCAAGCAAAATAGAGAGAGACTCATAGAGAGCAGGCAGACAGCTCTGGTGGGGGTAGGGGTTAGGAGGGGTGATACTGAGCAAAAAAAAGAAAGAAAAAAGAGAGAGAACTCATGGACATGGACAACATTATGGTGATTATGGCTGGAGAGAAAGGTAGGTGGAGGTATAAGAGGGCAAAGAGGGAATAAATGGTGATGAAAAAAATAATAATAAAATAAAATAAAAAATTTAAAAAACAGATGAATTAAACCCCACCCCCAACAAAGCAAACAAACCCCCCCCCCCCCGTTTCCCAATAGACCTTAATCTAAAAAAATTTGAAAAGACAAAGAAACTGGTAAGAATGTGAATAAATTTAATGAAACATTCATAGTATAAAATAACAGTGCCTCATTAAATTAAAAAAGAAGTCAAGAGAAAGGTAAATGAAATAAACTATGTAAAAGTCCTTGTATTAGTAAACAGGAGGGCAAAAAAATTGACTGACTTATACCTAAGTGAAGAACACATGCTGTAATTTCTAGTGTGACCTTTTAAAAAAATAGCCCTGGCCAGTTTTGCTCAGTGGTTAGAATGCCGACCTGCGGTCCAGAGAACCCGGGTTTGGTTCCCAATAAGGGCAAGTACCGTGGTTGTAGTTTGTCCCTGGCCCTGGTTGGGTCATGCGGGAGGCAGCCACTCAATGTGTCCCTTTCACGTAGATGCTTCTCTCTCTCTCCCTCCCACTCTATCTGAACAAAAAATAGAAAAATGTCCTCAGGCGAGGATAAAAAATAATAATAATAAAAAAAATAGTAATACAATGTATAACTTCCAAACTAGTGGAGGGGAAATAATGAAATTTTTAAAATATTCAAAATAAAGTAATAAAAGAAAAAATAAGGCCCAGTCACATGAATAAAACATTTTCATGGAGGACAGAAGGACAGTAAGGAACTAAACCAGATACCTGATGTGTAAATGCCATTTTGAACTTTCCATTAAACAACTGTGACCCTGTTAACTGTTGGAAACAGAACTTGTTTCTGAAAGTGACCAAACCTCAGATTTGCCTCTGGAGTTATGACAACCAGCTCCTGTCACACAGGTTAGAGGGAAGAACCACACATCACTAAATCAGCATGTATGACTCTCAGGTTACAGAATAGACAGACTGAATCATTCATTTCTTAGGTCTGAATTTGAACAAATAACCACTTTTACTTCTGATGTGTGGGTCTGCTCATGACCCCATGAGGACTAAGAGTGATGACAAAAGAGATCCAGTCTCACCCAGGCCAATTTTTCTCAGTGGTTAGAGCATGGGTCTGTGGACCAAAGAGTCAAGGGTTCAATTCCCAGTCAAGGACACATACCTGGGTTGCAGGTGAGATCCCTGGCTCCAGTTGTGGTCATGCAGAAGGCAACCAATCAATGCGTCTCTCTCACATCGATGTTTCTCTCTCTCCCTCCCTCCCGCCTACTCTATCTAGAAAATCAATGGACAAATATCCTTGGATGAGAATTAACCTCCTCCCCCCCAAAAAAAGAAGAAAGAGAGGGAGATCCAGTCTCAGAAAAAAGACAGATTTTTTCAAACTGTGGCGAGGGTAGGTCCTGGAGAGGGAAAGAATAAAAAATGACTTCCAGCCCTGGCCAGTTTGGCTCAGTGGTTAAGAGGGTCGGCCCACAGTCCAGAGAGACCCAAGTTTGGTTCCCACTAAGGGCACATATTTTGGTTGCAGTTTGTTCCCGGCCCCAGTTGGGGTCGTGTGGGTGGCAGCCGGCCGATGTGTCACTCTCACACTGATATTTCTCTACCCCTCTACCTCTCCCTCTATCTGAAGATGAATGAAAAAAATGTCCTCAAGTGAGAATAAAAAAAAGTGACTTCCAGAAGAAGCAGTCATAGTTGACCAAAAGTCCAAATCCAGAAACAATACATAAAAGAGACTAATACGTTTTAACTAAAAAAGGGCTCCCTAATAGATAAAAAAAGGCTTTTCTATTTAAGAAAAATACCTAAAGGTTCAAAGAAAAATAGACAAAAACATCAATATTCCACAGAAAGAGAAAGGCAAATGGCCCTTACATGTTAGGAAAAAACAGTAAGCCTTACTTATAAGAGAAAGCAAATTGAAATGCACTGATATACCCTTTCCCACCTGTGAAAATGGCAAAAATCTAAGAGCTTGACTACTCTGTTGGCAAAGCCAAGGGAAACTGGCACCTCATGCATTCTGGGACAAGTGCCTAATGGTTCAACCCCATGAAGAGGAACCTGCATTGACCTTTTAGGACTCTAAACTGAAGACCCACCTCTACAATATGAAACAGTACATACACCAGATCATCCTTTGTGGTGTTATAATAGCAAAAATAAAAAAGATCAAGGGCCAGGATCAGAATACTCAGACACAGAGAGTGCTGGGGCACTTAGTTACACAGCCAACAAACCTCGTCAATGCTTTAGCTAGTCTGGGGTTTTCTGTACTCAGCACAGTACACCCCAACTGATACACACAGTAAGTGACAAGTTCCCCAAATACTACTTACCAGGTTTGCTTCACCTTTACATCCTGAGGAGACACGTATTTGGGTCTGCGACAAACCTTTCTAAATGTACCATATACCACGTTTTTCTGAATAAAAACTGGAAGAAAAAAAAAGCCACACAGGATGGCAGTGTTTTATAAACAAATTAAATGGGTTGGTAAGCTAATTCAAATGTACAAAACCCAGAATCAGTCTGTTAAAAATAAGGCAGTTTTACCCATTTCAAATATTCATAAAGAAAATAGGAATCCTTAGGAGACTGGGTTTAATGAATAGATGAATGATTAGTAATTGACATATCAATTATACATGAGTGCTTTTAAATTGTTCCCTCCAATCTTATTTAAACTATTATTTTGCTTAGCAATTTTTCCCAGGTTGGATATAAAAAAGCTTCAGCCCAGCCTGAGACCGAATTATCACATCTTGAGCCAGTGGGGTTTAGAGTTAATATAATAATTTTACTCTTATGACTTTTCTTTCTTAGAGTAAACTGACTCTGTAAGCAGTACCGTATTTCTAAGCCTTATGAAACCCGAACCATCTTTAATAAATAAATTTCTTGTCCCATGCCCATCCCTGAGATCCTCAGATTCATCCTGAGGGGAAAGAAACACCACCTTTTGAGTTGAAAAACCATGACTACTTCCTATGAGTTAAATTACATGTCCTCATTTACCAAGAAAACCTTGTCAAGTCTTACTTTCTGTAACTAGAGCACAAAGATATTTTTTTCATTTAAAAAGCATTTTAGTATTAATTTGTATATATCTGTAACTTATCTTACTGCATTTGTGGTGTGTGTCCCCTATGCTACTATCCAGGTGGTCATCAAGATCAGGTACTCTTGGAGTTCCCCTATGTTCTAATGGGAGTCCATAATCCAGACCCTGCTGCTACAACCCCTTCTGTTACCCATTGCTCAACCTCTCATTGATACTGTTAATTGCCATACAAATTTTATTTACCTGTTTAATGACATTGTGATGAATCTTAAGTGGGCTTTTCACTAGTGAAATTAAAAGTTATTCAAGACATGTGGACTGGCTAAATATATGTGAGAATCAATCCCTATCCTCCCATGGATAGGGCAGAGTGAGGCCTTTTCTCTGACTTACCCTTAAAGAGGATACACCAGGTTAAGCCTCTAAGCAAGCCCTGCCTGTGGGGATTCTGCTTGACTGATGCCAGCTAACAAGTGTCAGAATTCCACCTCTAGAATCTTGGCTTTTGCCTTGAGTGACTCATTTGTGACAAGAGTCCCTAAAAGACAGCCATGTCTTCCCTGATCATACAGACAAGTCATTTGGCTTGTTATGTGTTTCTTAAATGTACTTGCTTCCTAATAATATTTAGTTAATAAATGTGAGTGGCAGATCTGAAACTTGCTTTCATTATACCTAGTAGTGAGGCTATGAGGTAAGAAGTTAACTCATCTCAAGTTTCTTCTTTGACTACTGTTATCTAACAACAAAAAACTGAGTTTACCAAGATGAATTTGAGGCAGTCTGTGGTGAACATAATTTTCCTGCAGTTTGCAGTCAACTTGCATGCATGTGCTCTTACCCACCCTTACCTGACTTTCTGTTCTGCCCCCTGGAAGTGTGGCCTAGGTTGAGAGTGATCAAGGTTGCATCTGACATTTTTTATTTATTTATTTTTTTAATATTCCCCACATATTCTAACAAATATTTCAAACAGCAGCCATCAGATGGGTGATATTTATATAGACTTGATCTTCGGGAAAGTCCTGACTTTTATTATTTTGTATGTCTCTCACTGTCTCTTTTGGGGAACTTGCATTCATCAGACTGGTTTGGTTGGTGTTTGCTTGCAGATGCTAAAGGCTGGTAAGCAGTTCTCACCCAAGAGTAGTAGACACTTTACTATCCCTAGAAGGGTCCAGTGAGGCAGCAGCCATTCTACCTTAAGCAAAACCACCAGTGCTACAAAACCACAAGCAAAAACAACTGGCTAAAAACAGGCAATTATAGTGGCCTTCGTGTAATTCACTAAAGACACTTTGCTGCCCTCTACATAGAATGAAGGGCCACAAAAATAGAGAAAACAGTCAACTGTGTTTCAAAGAAAGCCCACTTTAACTCCCTTTATTTTTTATTTTATTTATTATTATTATTTTTATCCTTACCAGAGGACATTTTTGCATTTATCTTCAGATAGAGAAGGAGAGAAGAGGGGAAGAGAGAGAGAGAAGCATCGATGTGAGAAAGACACATCGAGTGGTTGCCACCCACACAACCCCAACCAGGGCAGGGACAAACTGCATACCCTTAGCGGGAACCGAACCCAGGACTCCCTGGTCTGCGGGATGATGCTCTAACCACTGAGCAGAATTGGCCAGGGCTTTAACTCCCTTTAAAAATGCTGAACAGCCCTGGCCGGTTTGGCTCAGGGGTTAGAACATCAGCCTGTGGACCAAATGGTCACAGGTTTGATTCCCAGTCAAGAGCACTACCTGGGTTACGGGTTCAATCCCTGACCCTGGTCAGGGTCGTATCTCTCACATCAGTGTTTCTTTCTCTCTCCCCCTCCCTTTCTTTTACTCTATCAAAAAAAAAAAAAAAAAAAAAAAATATATATATATATATATATATATATATATATATATATATATATATCTCTCTCCTCAAGTGAGGATTTACAAAAAGAATAAAAATTTAAAATGCTGAATATTCAGAGGATTCAGAGTTTAAAATGTGAAGTTAAAGGCAAAAATAAATCAAACAAGGCTGGACTGATAAATCCATCTGAAAATGGCTTAAGAGAGGTTACAGAAAGACTAAAACTTAAAAATAAAAATCCCCACAAATTGGTCACTGGAAGATCTGGCCAAAGAGTGTTTGGCTTGTTTCTATCTGTCAAGGCAAAAAGGACAAGTCATTTAAGGCCCAGTTTTAGGTTACCACATACACATAAAAATATGCTCCCCAACAACTTTTAATTAATGTATGCATCTACCACATGTTTAACCCAGCAGCCCATTTATGCCAAAGGCGCCTATAGAAAAGATTATATTAATGTTGCCATGCTGGGGAGTATGAGGCAAAGCTGCACAGCAGAACCACTGTGACACTTGTTGGGGACTAAGGTTAATCCTCTGACACAGAGGGACTCGGCTTCTCTTTGATTCTACTAGACTGGCATTATCTGTTTACAGGTCTGTTTCCCCTTCCAGATGGGAACCATTTCAGAGCAGAAATCACCCTTCTTTTTTGTTCCTGGCCCTCAATATGTATACAGAGCTCATCCAGGGTTATGTGGAAAAGGCACAGCCAACAGATGGCCAGGCCTTGCTGGGTGAGGGCAGTGGGTCAGGAAGTACCTCTGAAGTCTAACTCGTATTTGTGTTTTCCAGCCTGGAACTTGAAAATGGCTGCCTGGCTGTCAGACCCTGGATTACAGTATACCAGGTAGGCCTTCTCCAAATCGCTGCTGCTGACTGAGGCTGTGGGGTGCTCCAAGCCCTGCAAGGCAAAAGAAAAACAGACAGTTCACGAAGGCAAGAATCTACAATGACGAAGACAGACACTGCTGCTATCCTTGCCACACTGCAGACAAGCCCACAGTGGTATTACTGTCATGGGAGAGGCATGAGTGGAGCAGGGATATGGCAGGAGAGAGGGGCAAGGAGCAGAAGCCAACACAACTGCTTCCTAAAAGCTGCCTGGGAAAACAGAAGATTGTAAATATATGTGCTGCTAACCAAGATAACCACAGTGGGAACAATGGAGGACAGAGCATTCAGTTACTCATAATGGATGATACAGCATTCAAATGAAAGGTAAACGCCAACACTGAATATCAAATGCTGCTTAACTAGATGGCCTGAGCAATGCTGCCTCTTGTCCATCTAGTCTTATTCCCGCCATCCTTTTATCAGAGGGCAGTCCTCCTTGTTTTCTTGTTTTGATCCCTTAGAGAGCTCTTCTATTTTTTCAATTATCCATTTTGATCTCTCATCCTCATTCCAATTACCTATAGGATATCTAAGATTTCGGGATGGACTGGTCCCAAACTTGTTTACTCTATAACCTTGGCAAGTTATTTTAACCTCTCTGAACTTTAGTTAACTCTATAACAGGAATAATAACATTACTTAAATCATACTCATATCATTATACAATAGTATCATACCATCTGCAGAGGATTGGCAAATAATTAAAATAAGACATTCGGGGCACTTAGCACAGTGCCTGTAACAAAAAGCAAAGGTATTGCAGAAATATCAGGCAGGTGTCTAGACACACAAGTCTGATATTTGAAGAAGAATCCTTGCCTCCCTCTCCTGCCATATCCCTGGCTCCCTTCATGCCTCCCCCAAGAGATATAGAGCTCACTCAAGATGGACACCACTGTCAGAAGAATCGATGTGATCACCACTGCAAACACAGTGTAAAGAATGGGGATGTGGGCTAGACCCTGGGAAACCCCAACATTCACCAAGGGTACTGTAGAAGAAGCCCATGAAGGACATGGGGGAGAAGCAGGAATGCCAGGAAAGTGAGGAAGGAATATGTATCACTCTGGGCAAAGGCTGGAAATGCTATAGGATTTGGCAACTAAGCCTTCTGCTCCTTGTCAATATTTGTACCTAGCTGGGTCCCACCTCCTGAATAGAGACCAGATGAACAGTAATGGGAATAGAAGTCAGATTCTGGCAAGTGGAGAAATAAATGGGGTTCTTTCCTTCCACGCAGAAGGATGGGTTGTTTAGGTACAAAAGGATGAAGGTAATTGTAGGGCTTTTAGATCAAAGCAGAGATCACAGGAAAGGGGATATGTGGAAAAGGTAAACTGACATGAGAAGCCTATTAAAAATAATCCAACGAAAACATAGCTTGGGGTGATGTATCTTGGAGCCCAACACCTCATGGACTTCCAAGTTTAATGCAGGAAACTTAGTGGGCCAAGAACAGTAATTCTTTTATACACAAGATTAGGTTATAGGTTGAATTGTTCTCCCTAATCCCCAGTACCTCAAAAATGTGACCTTTTTTGAAAACAGAGTCATTGCAGATGACCCTAATCCAACTAATCCTCTTATAAGAGGATGGCTATATGAAGACACACAAGGAGAACACCATGTGATGATAAAGACAGATTGGAGTGATGCATCTATAAGACAAGGAACACCAAAGACTGCCAGCAAACCACCAGAAGCCAAGAAAAGGCAAGAAAGGATTCCCTATAGGTTACAGAGGGAGCATGGCCTCTAAATACCTTGATTTCGATTTCCAGCCTCTAGAAATGTGAGATAATAAATCACTGATGTCTAAGCCACCCAGTTTGTGGTACTTTGTCATGGCAGCCCTGGAAAATTAATACAATGTAAGCAATTTGAACCTGAAATTCAGGGGCACATCCTGAGTTCAGGCAGAAAAGAACCTAGATTTTCTGAGAATCAAGAGAAAACTGGCAATTAGCAGAAAACTAAGAAAGAAATATAAATATAAGATGACACCAGAAGTGTGTGGGAAAGGAAGGCCTAGAATGGACAGGTCACTCATGAGGTAGTCCTGCTGATGGTACAGACTGAGACCATGCAGGTAAGTCAGGAGATCTGGAAATCTTTGGGTGTTTTGATGACTCCCTCCAGAACAATCCTTGTGCCCATTGTTTGGAAGGGCTCCTCCATATGAACCGTTTGGAGGAATCACTTGCCCTCTTTCTATCACACTTACTTGTTTACCGTATTCCTGCCAAGAACCAAGGTCATCATTCCAGTACCAAATCCACTCGGTGGTGAGGATGAAGTGTGGCGGTTTGGTGACCGAGGAGGCTGTGGAGAGGCGGCGAGCCCGGGCAGTGCCAAACTTCATAGAGTTAAAGTTCAGATAATCAGAATGAAAGATACTGACCAAATCAGCACATAGGATCCTGCAAAAGAACGTGAAAGGTACACTTAAAATTTCACCAGCCAAATGAACATAGGCCCCCAGCTTCCATCCATGGTCTTCCAGACACTCAGCTGGTAGATGTGAACATAAATGTGACATGCATATTTTTTTTTTTTTTTATCCTCACCCGAGGATATTTTTCCATTTTTTGTACAGATAGAGTGGGAGGGAGAGAGAGGAAGGGAGAGAGAGAGAGAAACATCGACATGAAGGGACACATCGAGTGGCTGCCACCCGCACGACCAACCAGGGCCGGGGACAAACTGCAACCGAGGTACGTGCCCTTAGCGGGAACCGAACCCGGGTCTCTCAGGACCGCAGGCCGACGCTCTAACCGCTGAGCCAAACTGGCCAGGGCGACATGCATATTTTTAAAAAATGTTTCCAAAGAGGGGAGGGGAGAGCTGCTTTTTAAGATCTGTTTTTTCATGCAAAAATAAAATCAAACTCGTTATCATGACATTCTTTTCACTGCACAGAAAATGCTGGTTAAAAAATTTTTAATGCACTGCTGAGGTGGTAAGAAAGGGAAATCCTTAGAAGCCAAAACAACAATAGTTAACATATGCTGAGTGTTTACTCTGTAGGTGTGGCCCTGCTGACACCTTGATTCCTCAGTTCTAGCCTCCAGAACTGTGACAGAATCAATTACTGTTAGTTTTAAGTCACCAAGTTTGTGGTAAACTTTTAAGGCAGTCTTAGGAAACTATTATACCTGCCTTTAAACTCATACCTAACTTCTAAATCGAAGCAGTGTAAGCTAGAAAACAACAGAATAATCTTTGAGGAGTTTAAATAAAATAACCAATAAAACACTCTTTCAAGAATGAGAATAAAATAAAGACATTTTCAGACAAACAAAAAAACACATTTGCCACTAGACTCTTAGTAAGGCAACGTCTAGGAGATGAACTTAAAAAGGAAAATGATCCAAGATGAAATATATGGCAAAAGAATGTGGAGCACAAAATAAAATGATAAATGTGTAAGTTGAAGCAAATATTGACTATATAAAACAATGCTAATTTCCAACTTCTGGAACTAAAAGAATAGAAGCAACATGTACATAGCATATCTTATATACCTGGCACTTTTCTGAGTGTTTTACATATACTAAACTCTTTTAATTCTCAATAATCCTTTGATATAGAAACTATTTTTATCTACTTGACATATGGGAAAACTGAGGCACAGAAAGGTTAAGTAATTTGCCCAAACTCAAACAAATAGTAAATAAATTTGAATAGCACTACCCCAGAATTCACATTTCTTTTCTAGTTGGAGAGAATGATTAAAAGTATACATTAGCTTGAATTGTTCAAGTTTGCTAAGTTAAATAACCTGTTTAGGTTTCTAGAGTAACCAGTAAAAGAACATATATTCAGTACATATTAGTAGACCAAAAAAAAAAAAATCAAATGAGGAAAAGTGTCTAAAAGAAAACCAAAAAGAGAAAAGAAATACAGAAAAAGGTCATAGAGCAAAAAATCAAGGTGGACAGTAAACATTAACTCAAATGTGATTTTCCGGGATTTCCAGTCAACATGGCAGTGTAGGTAAATGTGGTACTCGCCTCTTCCCACAACCACATCAAAATGACAACTGAACTACAGAACAACCATCATTCAGAACCTCCTGAAATTGAGCTGATGGAAGTCCTACAATTACAAAATGAAAGAAGCAGCCACATTGAGACTGATAGGAGGGGCGGAGGTGCAGACAGGCAAAAATCAGGAGGAAAACCTCGGCTGGGAAGGTCCACTCCTCCCATTCCCACACCAGGCACCCCAGCTCAGGGTTCCAGTGCCAGGAAGAGAAGTCCTCATAACTTCTGGCTGTAAAAACCAGTGGGGGCCCTGGCCGGTTTGGCTCAGCAGTTAGAGCATCGGCCTGCGGACCAGAGTCCCAGGTTCGCTTCCTGTTAGGGGCGCATACCTCAGTTGTAGTTTGTCCCCACCCTGGTTGGGGTCATGTAGTTGGCAAACAGTCGATGTGTCTCTCTCACATCGATGTTTCTCCCTCTCTCTTCACCCCTCTCCCTCCTGCTATCTGAGGAAAATGCAAAAATGTCCTCAGGTGAGGATTAAAAAAAACAGTGGGGATTGAGGCTTCTAGAGTCCCAGACAGTTCTTCTTAAAGGGCCCATACAGATTTACTCAAACCCCCACCCTACAGGCTCCAGCCTGGGGAAGGCAGCTTGAAAGGCACCAGAGATATATGGAGAAGAATTGAATTGTTTGGCATCAGGCAAGAGCTGGAGAGGCAGCTTTCTCCTGGACAGACGTGCTGTCAGAGGCCGTTGATCCTTTGGTGAGCCCTTCCCCAGGGCGGCAGGTGGCAGCCATATCTGGGACTCCAACAACCTGGCTCACACTGGTTGCCCCGCCCTGGTGATTCTCTGAGGCCCTGCCCCACCCAACTTTTGGGCCTACCTAAGCTGCTCCCAATGGCTTTACCATAGGATTGGCCTAACTTGGATCCTGCTTCAGATTTTCCTAAAATCTCTCAAACAAGCAGCATCTGGTCTCAGTGAGCACCATACCTCTCATTAAGTCCCCCAGGCCTGGCACTAGAAACAGCCAGCCTTGGTTCACAAATTGGCTTTTCCTGGGCACCCCCAAGCCCAGCACAAGAAGCAGCCATCTGCAGATCACTTTATAGCTTATGCCTGGTGGCTCTAGGTAGAACATAGGCAGTGGCTGACCTTGGCCCAGAGCTAGCACACCCAGCGGGCAGCTTCAGACTACATCGAAACACCACCACTCAACCACCTCCACAAGTGACACACTCAGTGAGTGAACTCAGTGGGTACCAGAACCCTGCTGAAGTAAGTCTTGCTCTGTGTGGTGGGCCCCTACACAGCTGATCCTCCAAGGGAGTCAGAGGCCAGTGGGCACAGCCAGTCCTTGCAGCTGATCAGCCTGAGTAAATCCCTCCTATCGACATGCCAACAGCAATCAAGACTCAATTGCAACAGAAGGGTGTACAGTCCATACTAAGGGTGCACCTCGAGGGCCCAGCTGGGGTGATCAGGGAGGCTGTGCCACTGGATCCTACAGCACACCTACAACAATAGGCCACCCTACAAAACCTAGGAGATATAGCAATGCTACCTAATACATAGAAACAAATGCAGGGAAGCAGTCAAAATGAGGAGACAAAGAAACATGTCTCAAATGAAAGAAAAAAACAAAACTCCAGGAAAAGAACTAAACAAAATGGAGATAAGCAATCAATCAGATGCAGAGTTCAAAACACTGGTTATAAGGATACTCAAGGAACTTAGTGAGACCATTAACAACATAAAAAAGGACCAGTCAGAAATAAAGGATACACTAACTGAACTAAAGAATAATTTATATAAAATCAATAGTAGAGTAGGTAAAGCCAAGGAGCAAACCATCAATTTGGAATATAAGGAAGTAAAAAACACCCAATCAGAACAGCAAAAAGAAAAAAGAATCCAAAAAATGAGTATAGTGTAAGGAGCCTCTGGGACAACTTCAAGAGTGCCAACAGTAGCATCTTGGGGGTGCCAGAAGGAGAAGAAAGAGAACAAGAAATTGAAAACCTATTTGAAAAAATAATGACAGAAGACTTCCCCAACCTGGTGAAGGAAACAGACATACAAGTCCAGGAAGCACAGAGAGTCCCAAATAAGATGAACCCAAAGAGGTCCACACCAAGACACTTCATCAAAATGCCAAAGGATAAAGACAAAGAGAGAATCTTAAAAGCAGCAAGAAAGTAGTTTGTTACCTACAAAGGAGCTCCCATAAAACTGTCAGCTGATTTCTCAAAACAAATTTTGCAGGCCAGAAAGGAGTGGCAAGAAATATTCAGAGTGATGAAAAGCAACAACCTACAACCAACATTACTCTATCCTGCAAAGCTGTCAATTTAGAATCGATGGACATAAAGTGTCCCAGACAAGAAAAAGCTAAAGGAGTTAGTTCATCACCACCAAACCAGTATTGTATGAAATGTTGAAGGGTCTTCTTGAAGAAGATCAAAAATATGAATAAAATGGCAATAAATATGTATCTATCAACAATTGAATATACAAACCATATGAACAAGCAGAACAGAAACAAACTCATAGACACAAAGAATTTTTTGTTGATTGCCAGATGGAAGGAGGTTAGGGGGATGGTTGAAAAAGATGAAGGGATTAAGGAGTACAAATTGGTTGTTAGACTGATGAACCTCAAAGGGAAGGGGGTAGTAAGGGCGGGAAGAGATAAACCAAAGAACTTCTATGCACATATGCAAAACCAATGCACAGAGACAATAGTGTGGGGAAGGCAGGTGAGGGGTGGGAGCTGGGAGGAGAGGGCAAAAATGGGGGACATCTGTAAAACATCCAACGATAATGCTAAGTTAAAAAAAAGTTAATTCAAATATATAAGTAATAACAAGAAATGCAAGTAAACTAATGTTTAATTAAAAGACAGACAGTCACCATGGCCAGTTTGGCTCAGCGGCTAGAGCGTTGGCCCGTGGACCAAGGAGTTGTGGGTTCGATTCTGGTCAAGGGCAGGTACCTTGGTTGTGGTTTGGTCCCCAGCCCTGGTCGGGTCATGTGGGAGGTAACCAGTCGATGTGTTTCTCTCACATCAATGTCTCTCTCTCTTTCTCTCTCTGTCTCTCTCTCTCTCTCCCTCCCTCTGTCCCGCCCACTCTATCTGAAGATAAATAGAGAAAGTGTCCATGGGTGAGGATTTAAAAAAAAAAAACAAAAACAGATTGTCAAACTGAAAAAATAAGTTCTATGATGTCTACAGGAAATATATCTAAAATATAAGGACAAAAAAGCTTGAAAGTAAAAGAATAGTAAAAACTAAAAGTAGCTGTCACGGCCCAGTTGGTGTGGCTCAATTGGTTGGGCATCAACCCATGCATTGAGAGGTTGCTGGTTCGATTCCCCCTTAGGGCACATGCCCAAGTTGTGGGCCAAATCCTCAGTCGGGGGCATGCAGG